ACTTATTATTACATTTTAAAAACGATATGGTTTTGGACTCTTTAAGCAACAAGAAGTTTCAACATTACACTCCAACCCCTCCTCCAGGTAAATGGCACAAGGCCTTTAAAACATTTCTATTTACAATCCTGGCAGCTGAATGGCTTAGTCTTGAGATTACAATTAGATTCTCATCAATTTTCGATTTGCCAGTGATATAATATTTCCATCATACATCCTAATGTCTTCTACTTCTTTTTCCATTGTTATATAAAATATTTTCCCCCCTCCTCTTTTGTGTGGGCATCTCTATTTTTTCTTCAGAGTTGATTTAAATTGTTAATACCTAATTATAGAATCTATTACATTGTAATCATTTTTTATCTGTAGGTTAACCTAGTTCTAGGGAAAAAATGGTGTGAAGCTTCATGTGTTTGTAGTTCCCATCAGCTAAACAGAGTACGTAATATATAACAGTGTACAAAAAGCTTCACCTCTTGAGGGCAATGATTCATCTTAAAGAAGCAGATACTGTAGAAAGAAAAAAGTATTTGCAAAAGTTTTATTTTAAAGGATCAAAAATAAATACTGCACATATACACAGAGAAAATCCACTGATATTTATGTTCTTCGATGCACACTTTCAATACATGGCACCTTCATCTTCTTTATTGAGAAAATAAACTGTTATGGGTCCATAACTGGTATGTACAGTCTCTGTGACTCTGGCAAATAACCAGGAGCCAAGTCCATATAATAAAGTTGGAATACCTAGAAAACAAATGAATATGTATAAACATCAATGCTTATTAATCATGCAAGTTACTAATCACATATAACACTCTTCAGCAATGTTAACAAATTACAATGTGGTAAAATATAAAAATACTACTCAACATTGACTCTATGATTATCTAAGGGCTCAATTTCATCAACGTGGAACATGATGGCAATTACGTGAGTCCAGAGGTTTTCATACTATAGACAAGGTGGGTATAAATGTTAATTCAGGTACTTCATAAATTCATTATCCTTGAATAATCATGAAGTAATTCTATATTCTTTTCATAAATAAGAAAATGGAGAAGAATACTCATTAATTTAGTTGTAGATACTCCTGATTATTAGCCTTGAGCTAAAATTACTAGGTTAACACTACTGGGTTTTTGAGATGGAGTCTCACTCTGTTGCCAGGCTAGAGTGCAGTGGTGTTATCTCGGCTCACTGCCACCTCCACCTCCTGGGTTCAAGCGATTCTTCTGCCTCAGCCTCCTGAGTAGCTGGGACTACAGGCACGCGCCACCATGCTCAGATAATTTTGTACTTTTTTAGTAGAGACGGGGTTTCACCATGTTGGCCAGGATGGTCTCGATCTCTTGACCTTGTGATCCCCCTGCCTAGGCCTCTGAAAGTGCTGGGATTACAGGTGTGAGCCACCGCACCCGGCCAACATTACTGTTCTTTAAGTTAGTAGTAACACTAATGGCTGAAGTAATTTTTGTGCAACTTAAAAGAAGCTGGGTCAAAGAGCTGTCTTTAAAATCTAAGGCAAAATCTAACTCCAAGTAAGATTTCAGTACAATAGGCATGAGAAAAAAACTATTATTCAGCATTTTTTCAGTTGATCTGAAAACAACCTTGTTTCAGCCAATTTGAAATCGATATACAGTAGACTCCAACATGTGTTTCTTCTTTGGAATTGATAAGATTTTGCTGCTTTGAGATTAGTTGCCATTTGTGATAAACAAAACTAAACACACTATCCAGAGGTATGCATTAAGCACTCACTTGCATATAAGACTGCTGGACACAAAACAAACTTTCACAATTCCTATCTTTTTAAAGGTACTTATTTAAAATCAATGACTACTAACATATTAAAAATGTAATAAAACCATAGGCACATGAATCAATAACAAATAGTATGCTCTGGACAAGCATTAATTTTATGCTCTTTTGAGGGAAATGGGCAGAAAGTGATACTTTAAAAGGATAGCTGTACATTTGGAAAATCACTTACTTTCTAGTAATAAAGAAAGCGGCCGGGCACTGTGGCTCATGCCTGTAATCCCAGCACTTTGGGAGGCCGAAGCAGGCAGATCACCTGAGGTTGGGAGTTCGAGACCAGCCTGACCAAGATGGAGAAACCCCGTCTATACTAAAAATACAAAATTAGCTGGGCGTAGTGGTGCATGCCTGTAATCCTAGCTACTCAGGAGGCTGAGGCAGGAGAATTGCTTGAACCCAGGAGGCAGAGGTTGCAGTGAGCCGAGATCACACCACTGCATTTCAGCCTGGCGACAAAGAGAGACTCGACTCAAAAAAAAAAAAAAAAGAAAAGAAAAAAAGCAACACATGCTCTGGACTAATCATATTGCTAAATTTTTGTCTTATTTTTCTGCAAGAATATATTTGCTGTGTTAAGCTCTTTTTGAGTGTGTTTGTTGAACTACTTTGTGCTGCTTCCTGAAGCTGCATTCCAGTCACTGTGATACCAGAGATTAATCAGGAGAAGCATCACATCACTAGCTGGTAATGAGGAGAAGAGGAAAAAAATGCCCATTCAGGCTAGAATCTCTCTATTTTTAGGAATATACTGGGTCACAGTTTGTCACCATCACAGGGTTCCCTGGAACTCCTATGAAACCTTAGTGTATCACCTTCTTTGCCCTGATAATGTCCAAAAGAATCTCTAAATACCTCAAGGGAATGTCATAAAAAAAATCCACAAAAAACTAGAATAATAAAGCTACTTATAAATCATTTAACCACAAAGAAAAAAAAAAAGGCAAGTGGCACAGGGGTGGGAGGTGGAAAAAGAAGAATACGAACAAGCTAGGCAGAAATGAGAGAGAAGTAGAGGGAGTAGTTGAAATAAAAAATGAATTTAAAATGCAATATCACAACTTCAAAAGCTGAAAATCAATGGAATGAGGAAGAAAAAAATAGGCTCTAGAAGCAATTACTAATTTTCTAAGCATACTGAGACTAAAATATATAAAATAGGCCTCTTAAACCAAGGCTAAGTATATAAATGTAAGGAATACCTGGTGACACTGACAATTTTGTTTTACAATATTTATCACAGTTATCAGTTAACATATTGATTTTAAAAATTCATACTTTTGAAAAATCATAAATACAGAAAAAAAGTCAATATCTTTTCAGCTAAAATCAAGGGCTGATTTTTATTAAGGTTACTAGCTTAATAACTATATTATATCTTATTAAAAAATAACCAGGAACCATTAGCAGTAATGCTGTTTGACAGGAGATGGAGTTATGATCTGAGTCAGAAATTCTGTATTTTTTCCCTTTGCTGTCTATTTAATGCAATCAGACTAATATTCAAAATGGGAAGGTTTGCCACCTATATAACTTATATATTACAAAATCTTCTTTGTATGCTTTAAAGTCTAAGATTCTATGGAAAATTCAATTTTTTCTGAAACATTAAATTTATATCTGAAACATATAACATCAAAAGAACCTGAAAATCAGTTCTTTGCATAATAATTCACTTTGAGTCAGTTGAACAGTAGATAAACCACTGTCAAATTAAGTACTTTAAAAAATTAGAATTCCTCAGTAAATCCCATTCCTTCCAATGGTAAGTTGCTTTTCTTAAATCTCAATCTACCTCTCAGCAGGATACCTAGACTGGTAAACCATCAGTAAAATGTCAGCTTCCAATGAAGGGAAGACGGAGGAGAAAAGGAGCAAATGGGTAAACAGAAATCTTTACTATTTACAAAATGGAAAAATGAATTACTCTAGTAATTACTAATTTGGAAGGGAAGAAGAGGAACAAAATCCTAAGTATAATATTAATAGGGTATGTACTTGGTCATCCAGAGAGACGACTGTACATCACAGAATAGGAAAGGACTCTATTATCTAATTCACATCCCCTCTACCTTCAGACAAAAATTAAAAATAAATGTTACCAGATGTGTTCACCACTTTAAAATATTTTTAAATTTCCTTTATCAGTATATCCCAATTTGTATTAAAGCATGCATGAGCAAAAAGTTGTCCTTTTTGCTTAACTTAGAACTCTTACTCTCATTTTACCAGGATTTTTAGAATGTCCAAAAGACCATACATACCATTAAATCACTCTCTCACATTAAAAAACAAAACAAAACACACTACAACTGTTGTTTCTTTCAACTTTAAAAGGTTTTACTTTTCTATGTGTGGAATGTTCTGAGTATCCACTTTTTTTGGATGTCTTAATATCTATATCTAAAAGAGAGGCCCCTAATCATTAAGGTGATCTTAAACAAAATGTTAACACTAAAAATGTGACTTTAAAGGAAAAGAAGGCATTTGGCTCATGGTTTACCTATAACCCTCCCGTTATGCTTTCCCTATTATTCTTTAGGGAAGAATGATTTCTTGCTTATGAAAATGCTAAAATAAACTTACACTTCTCGAATCTAGTTAACACTCCAGTCTTTCCAAATAATTTCGAATTGAATTTCCTAAGTCACCTCACCCTTCAACTTCAACCAACCTCCAAAGTAGTGGGCATGCTCTATACAGTCCATCAGTCAAATAATAAGAGGCATTTTTAAAGGATAACACTTTGCTAAATAATTTTCTCCTTACAGGACAGTCCAGTGGAGTAACGGCTCAAAAAGTCCATGACTGACATATATGTTATTATAAGCAAAAATACACAGACCACTTTTAACCTTAATGGACGATCAGATTATGTAATAGTATTACTAGTACGGCTGCGCAGGGCATAGTTTAATTCTGGCTTTTAAAACCTGGCTGGGTAACCTGTTTCATTCAGCTCCATGGCTAGATTTTGAATCACTGAAATCTAGATTGATTTTATACCAGCTATTAGTAAGTTCAAAACATCCTGAGGCCTTCTGTTTTCCCCTGACCTATTTCCATGTTCGTACCTCTTCTGTCATTAAACCAAAAGAAAATATACACCTAGTGACAGTAAACACCCTCAGGGCATCTCCATGAAAACATACAAATACTAAAGACCTTTAAAAATATTTTAGGCCTAGTACCTCAGGAAGCGTTATGTCTGGTGAAAACCTTTGGTGCTTTTAGTAAAACAAACTTTGAATTCATATAAAGAAAACAAAGAAACTGAAAGAGTAGTTCCAGTTCTTGCAACATAATGCAGCCGCAAAGTGATGTTCACGGGAATGAGTCCTGCCATGCAGTAAAACGGGTGTCAACTTCGGAGCCACTTTCCAGGGGGCGTTTCCTGACGCCCCCTGGCTTAGTGCCCAGACAGGGGTCGTCCCTGGTTAACTTGGGCAGGACAGGAGGGCGGCCTGCTCCTCCCTAGGCCCGAGGATGCGCCCGCAGCAGGTGAACGGCTTCGGGAGCCAGGAGCTCGGCAAGCTGGGGACCCCTGGGCGAGGACTACAAAGGACCCAAGGCGAAGCCAGCGCCGGCAGGCAGAGCCGACCCCGGCGGGACTCCACCTGCCCGCGAGTGTTCGTCAAGTGCTCGGCCGCTGCGGGGCCGTCCCGGCGGGGCGGGCTTCACCGCGTGGTCGCGGCAGTCGCCACTCACCGAGGTTGACGACCTTGAGCGCCGTGAAGAAGCGGTTCTGCCGGGCCAGGTCCTGCCAGGGCGCCTTGGAGCAGTGGTACTTGATGAAGGGGAAGCAGCCCGTGCGCAGGACATGGTAGTTGGCGCCCTGCACCGGCCAGTTGAAGTGAGAGAGGCCGAACTGGTCGTTGCGGACGGCGCTGTAGGGCACGCAGAAGGAGGTCCAGTGCGGCAGGCGCCGCTGCAGCAGGTGCCGCGTCAGCACCTCGGAGGCGCTGGGCTTGGGGCGGGCGGCGGCGCGCGAGGCCCACGGCCTGCACAGCAGCAGGCGAAGCGCGACCTCGTGGGCCATCCGCAGGGCCTCCATGGCCCGCCGCGCCGGGGACGCAGGCGGGTGTCTGCAGCCGCCAACGCACAAGCGCGCCCCCGGGCGAGCGGCGGGAAGGCCAACGGGGGCCGCGCGGGTGCCCGAAAGCCCCCGGGGTGCGGTGGCGCGTGCGCACAGCGATCCTGAGGCCTCCCGCTGGGGGTGGAGTCCGGGGGACAGGAGGCGTGACCTGCGCGAGGCGGGACCTGCGGGAGGCGGAGAGACACCTGCGTCAAGAGGCTGGTTTTGAGTGGCCTGGTATGACCTCGCGCCGTCATTAGTGACTCTGGGGCGGAGGAGGGATTCGGGCAGGTCTCATCAATTTGGGTCTGAGGAAAATTTAGGTGTAAAACAATTCAGTAACTTAACCACCTCCGCAAGGGGCAGAACTCAAACCCAGGTCTCCCTCCCACGCCCTGGGCTTCAGGGAAACTCTTGGGTGTCGTTGAAACACGACGAGGCGTCCTCAGGGAAGTGAGTAAGCAGCCGAGATCCCAGGTCTACGTTGTTTGGTAAGGCCGGGAGCACTTTTGTGTGTAGGTCCTCGCTGTCGGGTTCACTGTTTAAAATTAGTCCCAGAGATTTCAAAATCAGAAGTTTATTTAAAAACCTCACGTGTCTCGGTGCAGCGTCCGAACACACAAGGCCACCTCCCTCTAAGAACCTGGTAGACGGACCAGGAGCGTCTTACCGACTTTTGTGGTCCTCAGTCAACCATTATCAATCCATTACTTTGGGAAAACCTTTTCTCAAACTTTGCGGCCTCTTGAGGCAATAACTTACAGACACACCTACTTTTAAAAAAGCATTTCCTCTTTTGTCCTGAACTCATTTTGTTTGGAAAGGCCATATATAAACAAGATGATGTGTCTGAAACCACCTTATGTAAATGAGGTACAGTAATTACGCGTTAAGCATCATATAACAATTACTATCGTTGCTAAAAACTCAAGGGGGATGTAGGATAGTATGGCGAAATTTTATATTTCCCAGTTTTTTGTTTTGTTTTGTTTTTTTGAGACGGAGTCTCACTCTATTGCCCAGGCTGGAGTGCAATGGCGCTATCTTGGCTCACTGCAACCTCTGCTTCCCAGGTTCAAGTGATTCTCCTGCCTCAGCCTCTTGAGTAGCTGGGATTACAGGCGTGCACCACCCTACCCTGCTACTTTTTGTATTTTTAATAGAGTCGCAGTTTCACCATGTTGGCCAGGCTGGTCTCGAACTCCTGACCTCGTGATCCACCCGCCTCAGCCTCCCAAAGTGCTGGGATTACAGGCGTGAACCACTGCACCTGGCCTATTCCCCAGTTTTTATTGAACATTGATTGAGCACCCACCAACATATGCCGAATCTTGAACTTTACCTTACAGAATTTGAACTTGAACTTTACCTTATAGAACTTGGACTTTATAGAATTTTTTTTTTTTTTTTTTTTGAAAAGATCTCACTGTTATCCAGGCTGAAGTGCAGTGGCTTGATTTCGGCTCACTGCAAATTCCTCCTCCTGGGCTCAATCGATCCTCCTACTCTCAGCCTCCCAAGTAGCTGGGACTACAGGTGTGTGCCACCTACACTCGGCCACTGTTTTTGGTATTTTTAGTAGAGGTGGAATTTTGCCATGTTCCCAGGCTGGTCTTGAACACTTGGGCACAAGTGATCCCCCCCCTCGGCCTCCCAAAGTGGTGGAATTACAGGTGTGAGCCTTTGCACCTGACCAAATTAAATTTTAAAAAACAGTGGAGTCCTTTTTCAAACAAAATCTGTTGAAGAAGATCCCCAACACATAAAATTGGTTAAAACTGATGCTTTAGACTGGGCGTGGTGGCTCACACCTGTAATCCCAGCACTCTAGGAGGCCAAGGCCGGTGGATCATCTGAGGTCAGGAGTTCGAGACCAGCCTGGCCAACATGGCGAAACCCTGTCTCTACTAAAAATACAAAAATTAGCCAGGCGTGGTGGCACATGCCTGTAGTCCCAGCTACTCAGGAGGCTGAGGAAGGAGAATTGCTTGAACCCAGGAGGCAGAGGTTGCAGTAAGCCAAGATCGTGCCATTGCACTCCAGCCTGGTTGACAGAGCGAGACTCCGTCTAAAAAAAAAACAAAAACAAAAAAACCTTATGCTTTATTACTAAACGTAAGTTCAAAAATTGTTTTAACCTTTTATTTTACTTATTTATTTTTTAGGCATGCATTCTCACTCTGTTGCTTAAGCTGGTCTAGAACTCAAGCCAATCTGTCACTTCAGCCTCTTGAGTCACTGGGATTACAGGAACCACCATGTCCAGCTGTAAGTTCAAATTTTTTATATTAACTTTTTAGGTAAATAAAAAACAAAACAATGAAACTTCAGTGTGTTGTTGTCTTGGATTTTCTTTTGTTTTGAGCAGAAAGGGGATTCATTGGAAGAAAAGTAGATAGCCCAAATAGTAAACAAGAAGTCTAGAGAACTAGTCTCAGAAAATAGGAAGGAACCAGGAGAGTCTGAACAGCAAAGACATAGATAAGACCAACAGGAACTAGTCTGGCGAGCATGCCATTGCTGGCCCCACTGCCACTGGACTCTTGATCCTATTGCTTGCAAAATATTGAAGATGGGGGTTGTGGTTGTGAAAGTGGATCCTTTGAATTGAGTCGTTCCTATCCCCAGCTAAAACAGTGGAAAAGCCAGGGGGGAGAAAGCACTCAGGACACATGGCATTACTTCAGAAACGTAATTCTCTGCAAGTCCCACTGCTGAAACTGCCTGTTGTGACCTGAGACCAGTTTTATCTGTAACTGCTGAGATAACTTGCTGCAACTCTAGAATTAATTCTCCCCACTGCCTTACCTATTGAAGCTTGCCAGCTCCTCAGAACCTTACTAGTGCCAATGAACTTTCTCAAAGAGCACTATGTAACATTTTTCTGTTTTATAAAAGCTCCAACCTTCTCTTCGCTCTTCAGACATATTGAAGACCACCTGGTCTGTGTGTATATACCAAATTGCAATTTTTCCCCCCAAAAAGTGTTAAATTTAGAGATTAATCTCTGTATCTTTATTTTAACTTCAACATAGTGGCAGTTACAGCAGACTCAGTATCCAGTTTATTTCTGCATCTTCTGTTTTGGTTGTACACTATCAAGAAAATTCCAATTTCTTCAGAGAAGTAGATACAAATAAGAGTGGTTTTTAAATTATTCATCTTGAAATCCGGCCATGTGCTTCAATTACAAAAATGGCAGCAGGAGATTAATTATGAGATCTACACTGAAATGACTTAACCTCAAATTAATGTGTGGGCAGTTTGCAATATGTTAAATTTTGGCATTATCTGTCTTTTGGCAATATAAAAATCTTTTTTAAAAAAACATGAAATTTGAATTGAACATGTGCAGAATCCCTGAAGTATGTCTGAGAAACCCTAGGTTCTGTGGCATATGAGATGAAAACCACTGACAAAGAGGACCAGATATTACATATGTTCACTGCATTTTTGCATCAAGAAGGCTTGGGAAAAGGGCTACCAAACTGAAGGACTTCTGTTGGTAACAACTCTCTTGGCTAAACCTCGTCAGCAGTGAAGGTTTCTCTTAACCCGAGCCTCTTTCACTATCTCCCTTTCTTTTCTATTCTAAGGTAGAAAGTTCCCTCAAAGAGAGACAAAAATGTGGGCCACACCCCATATTTAAGAGTGTTTGAATGAAACATTCCCTTACCTAAAGATACAGAGATGGAGAAAATAACATCTCTTCTGACTTTAAGATTATTTGGTGCCACTTCCATAATTGAAATAAGATAATTTCTCAAAACAACAGCAACCAACCCACAACTCAGATCACATGCTTGATTTTCTTTTCAGTTCCAATTCTTCATGGCTGTGAAACAGGGACCTAGGGATGTTGCACTCAAAAGCCTAAGTTGATGTTTTTTTAAAAAATTGTATCCTATAATTAAGAATGCATTACATAAATACATTTTTCCACATAGCATAGAGAAACGGCATCTCTCTTAGAAGGAACCCCTTAAAATGATTATAAAGGCCGATACTGTGGACAGCATTTAGCATGTGCACACATACTTCATGCTGCTCCTAGAAGGGACTTTGCATTCCTGTTTTTGTTTTAAAGGCATGTAGAACATTGTAGGTGCCTAGAACATATTAAAAATGAATTTTAGGCTGGGTGTGGTGACTCTTGCCTGTAATCCCAGCACTTTGGGAGGCCGAGGCAGATGGATCACCTGAGGTTGGAAATTCGAGACCAGCCTGACAAACATGGAAAAACCCCATCTCTACTAAAAATACAAAATTAGCCAGGTGTGGTGGCGCATGCC